ATTTTCTGGGTGTCACATCACATCAGTGGTGGGATACTACCGGTTCGGACAAACTGGTAGTGGTTTGGCGGCCTGAGTCACTGGAACCGGCAGCGATCCAGGCCTGACACCCACCCAAACCGATTCCCTGGGCAGCGCCATAGGGACCACCAACTTGTTTTACACTACTGCGCATGCACAGAGCAATTTTATTGCACTGTGCATGCACGCGAAGTGCGCATGAAGCACACATGCATGCAGAACACCCATGAGCGAACCGGTAGTAGTGCCTGCTGGAACCCACCCCTGCATCACATGTCCAAAATATTCTAACTTTTGCTTTTTTATGGTTTTGATGATTTCTTTCCTAGGTGGCTTATCACCTCCTAATTTCTGATTTTGTCAACCCAATTTATATGTAACAGCTGGCTGGAACTGCCATAGGTGTGTAATAATATGACATAGATCCCGTTGTTCAGGATGGGTTCAAAGACTGCAGAGGATTCCAGCCAGATATTCCCAACAGTCTAGGCAGATTGTCCTCCTGACTGCATTCTATTAATTTGGGAACTAGTCTACAAGGAAAACTTGCTCTGACTACTATTTCAGGCACGCTTAGGAAATTATTACACTTCTGTACATTTTTTACTCACTTGGTTTTCTGCTACAGGGTTTCTCCCAGACTCTCCATCTGCCAGAGCCCTTGTGAAGGCCAGATTTACTATTTGTTGCTTAACCTATCTGAAGCTCTTTCTGAGTTACTTTTTAATGCCGATCACAATAAATCCTAACCAAATTAAACTTCTTGGAGCGATTTCACAATCTGCCTTTTGTCTATTATGTTTAAATCACAATATTAACAATTTGTGTCTTAGCTTCATTTTTAAATGATAATTTAAAAAAATGGTAATTTCATCATGGAATAAAACAGAATTATTAAACTGATGTGGCACATGTGAACCTTTCTTCCTTTGAAACTGAAGCAGTCTGAAAACTTAAAGAATTATAATGATCCAGGAAAAAAGGGAGGGAAGGAAAATACAAAGCTGATTTTTAAGCCATGCTGATAGTAGACTGTAGCTGTGGATACACTGTGATGGACATCTGAAAACATACAAAGTGGTGCTAGCTTGCATCAAGGACATTCCAAAACCTTCTGGGAAGAAGGCAAAGGGCACATTATTATTCCACATTTTTAAAAGTCTAAAATCTATTAAAACCATGAGTGTTGGAAGAGAACAGAAATCTAGTTGTTTGATATCTATTAAACAGGTTGATGACAGTGATTTAATGGCCAGCTTCACTCAACCATAGATTTTATTCTTAGCATTGTCAATTGATAGGTGACCAATCAATCTAGTCCCTACCCTACACCATTTCTGACAGATGGCAGTCCAGTGTCTTCTTGAAAGCTTCCAGTGATGAAGCTCCCACAACTTCTGAATGCAAGCTGTTCCACTGGCTGATTGCTCTCACTGTCAGAAAATTTCTCCTTATTTCCAGGATGAACCTCTCCTTGTTCAGTTTCCTTTGGAAACTTCCTTCAGAAGTTGTGGGAGCTTCATCACTGGAAGCTTTCAAGAAGACACTGGACTGCCATCTGTCAGAAATGCTGTAGGGTCTCCTGCTTGGTTGGGAGGTTGGACTAGATGACCTACAAGGTCCCTTACAGCTCTGCTAATCTGTTGAATGACATATTTAGAAACCCTGTAATCCTTCATGGTGTACTATGTTGTGAATTTCCCTTTTTATTCCAGGCAGCCCATTTTATAAAAGGGAGATCAGCTTGCCATACAATAAACACTTATGCCATTTCATATTAAAAGGGGGGCAAAATGGCAATTGCCATTTAATGGAGCTATTTCTCCAGTGTTTCTTGCTTAATACATATCTTACTAAATCAAAGAGGCCTAGTCAAATATTATGAAAGCAAAATTTACATCATAATCTTTCAAAATGGCTATTTGGAAAGCCAGGAATCTCATTAGACTTTTGTAATATAACTCTTATCAACTCCTACAATTATATTCTCAAGGAGAATGGTTATACTTTTTCTCAGATCAAGATAGTCATTAGTGTCTTGGCCCAGAACTCTGAATCTGAAGAAGTTGCTCCATTTGCCCCAGTGGAATTTAAGCCTCAGGAGATACAAATCAAGAATTATGTGATGCTCAAACACAGCAGGAACAGAACAACTGGAGTAATCATGGCCTCCAAGTCCTCGGTTTTGGCACAAAGCAACGAAATCCAAAGAGGCTCCTTACCAAATAGGAGTCCTCTTGTCTTAACATCTGGTTGCAAACTTTAAGAGGCTGCTTTGATTCAAACAATCATCTGATTTTGTTGTATCCAGTGTGTCATTGCGTTTGATTTGTGTAAGAAGCCGAAAAATCTGGACCCTGGACAAGCTGTTAAACCTTGTTTGCCTCTCTGAAATTTGGATTGAATCTTGGCTAATTTTCTACAGATTACCTGTGAAAAGCAAAATGACTCAGGGAAGTCTTTGCTTCAGAAATTCTGACTGATGTACCTTTGCTTTTCTGCTGTTGATCAGTTCAACCTTGAGTAAATTAGTTACCATAAATAGGATAAGTATGCAAGTGCTACAAAACCACTTAAAAGGTTAATGTGTTGAAATAGTTAAAATATCCCCATTGAACTCACTGAATGACTTTGAATCAATCCCTTTCCTTCAATTTAAGTGATTTCACAGAAACAGGGATTTCCTAGGGCAGTGATGGCTAAATTTTTTGGTCATCCCGTGCTGAAAGTGTGCGTGGGTGACAACGTGGGCAAGTGCCCACACCGATAATGCAATGCATGTGTGATGCACGCATGACACCCTTGTGCTCCCGCACCCCATTTTGGGCCTAGCAGGCCTCCCTGAAGCCTCCTGGGACCAAAAACAGTGCGCCATACCTCCCTGGGCTCCCCCTGCCCCCTGCACATGTACGCGTAACCTTCCCAACTCCCGTGCATGCATGCACGTCACCTACATGCACCCCACCAGTGGTGGGTTCTGGATCCCATTGCAACCGGTATTACCTTCCAGCAATTTCTCTGCAAGCCTCTGCATCGCTCCAGCTGCTTGACAGAGCGTCACACAGGCGCTGTATGCACTATGCCCGTGTGCGGAATTGCCGAAGGCTTTAAAGGACAGGTAAGGAGGATGAGCGGGTGGGTGGGCCCTCTGGAGCACCGTACCGGAACAGTACCCGGTGCTCCGGGCAGGCTCCGGTCTGCCCATACCGGGGCGGACCTCCCGCAATCCACCATTGCACCCTCCCCACACACATGCTCAGCAGAGACCCAGAAATCAGCTGGCCGGTGGGAGACGCATGTGGATGCACAGTGGACCTGAGCTGGGGTGATGGCTTGCATGCCTGCAGAGAGGGCTCCACTTGCCAACTGTGGCACGCGTGCCATAGGTTTACCATCATGGGTGTATGGTCTCCTGCTTAGGTGGAGGGTTGGACTAGATGACCTACAAGTTCCCTTCCAACTCTCTTAATTTTATAAAATTTTATAATTTTTTTAATTTTATAAAAGGGGGATCAGCTTGCCGTACAATAAACACGTATGCCATTTCATATTAAAAGGGGGGCAAAATGCCATTTGCCATTTAATGGAGCTATTTCTCCTGTGTTTCTTGCTTAATACATATCTTACTAAATATATGAAAGAGGCCTTGTCAAACATGAAAGCAAATTTATATCATAATTTTTCAAAATGGCTATTTGGAAAGCCAGGAATCTCATTAGACTTTTGTCATATGACTCTATCAACTCCTATAATCTTGTTCTCAAGGAGAATGGTTATACTTTTTCTCAGGGCTTCTTGGTGAAAAGACAGGCTATGCATGAAAAAGCCAGGCATCCACCCAATACTTTTTGACCAATTCTATATGTGAACAATATATAGCAGCACAGGAGGGAATGCTGATAAGAGAAGAGGGAGGAGCTAAATGCCAGGAGATGGAGAAAGAACAGGAAGATAAAGCAGTAAGAGAAGGAGCAAGGGTCAATGAGACAAAGGAGCAGAGGGAGCTAAGAACGACTAGATCAACTAAACCTATAAATCAATAAGATATGGAGAAAGAAATAAAAGTAATCTCCATAACATAAACGGACTAAACTCGTCAATAAAAAGAAGAATATTCAACAAATTGGAGAAATTGAAATTGGACATTATATGCTTACAGGAAGTACATATTAGAAAGCAACATAGAAAATTTATGGAACAGGTAAAAGTAGGCAATTTATACATGACATTGGCTGACCAAAGCAAAAAGGGAATAGCATTATATATTAGAAAGACAATACAATCAAACTTAATTTTTGAAGATGGGGAGGGGAGAATACTGATGGTGGAGATAATGATGAATTTGAGAAAGATATTATTAGTGCCAATATACACCCCAAACGATAAAGAATATTTTTTTGGGAAATTACACAAAAAGATAATAGAATACGAATATGAAGACATATCTATACTGGGAGACTTTAATGCAATTTAAATAATGGAATAGACCATAAATCCACAAAGATGAACAAGAAGCTGAGAAAAACCCTACCCAAAACATTTTTCATGATGGTGGAAGAATTAAATCTGCAAGACATTTGGAGAATAAGACACTCGAAAGAAAGATAATATACATTCTACTCAAACAGACATTTCTCGTGGTCAAGAATGAATATGATGTGGATGTCAACAGAAAACATTTAAGATAGACATAGACATAAGCATGTGGGCTAACTATAATCCAATAACAATGACTTGGTAGGGACAGAAGAAAAATGGAAGATGGACTTTAAACTCAAGAATATTGAATGAAAAAAATTTCCAGCAATACATGGAAAAAGAATTGACATATTTTTTCCAGGAAAATAGAAAGGAAGACACATCATTACAGAACATATGAGACACTTGTAAAGCATACATCAGAAGCCTTGCAATGNTCAGAACAGAACGCTGGAGGCTTTCCTTCCCTCCCTCCCTCCCCCAATGACGGACGCTTTTCCTTACCCGCAGGACACACAACCAGGTTTCCAGCTGGGATTCACGAAAATGTCTTCGGGGTTGATGGGGATGTGTTGCTCAGGCCCTTCCTCGACAGTAAAGTCATAATCCCCCAAGACCACCTTATAAGTACGGGATCGCCTGTGGAAGAAATCGCCCAGCAGCTTTCAGAGGGCAGGGAAGGGTGCTCAGAGGGTCTGCATCCCCCCGGAGACCGGAGGGAAGGGTGACCTCCCTCCCTTCTTTGGAGAAAGAACCTAAAGAGGACCAGGGGCTCCCAAAGGCGCTTTTGACCCAGATGACTGAGAATCCCTATAGACTTTTAGGACCAGGGTCTCTAACCTCAGCCTGTGAAAAGCCTCTGAAGGATGAAAGGAGAAACTGGCCCTAATCAATGGGGGCATGAGAGAGGGAGGGGAAAAAACGAGGAGGGAAAGAAATGAGAAGAAGGAGCTAGAAATAAGAAGGAAAAAGAAAGCAGATGGAAATAGGAAGGGAGGGAGGGAGGAAGGAAGATGAAATTGGAAGGAAGGAATGAAATGAGAAGAGGGAAAGAAATGAAAAGAAGGAAGGAGGAAAGGAAGAAGGAAATAGATGGAAATAGGAAGGGAGGGAGGAAGGAAGGAAGATGAAATCGGAAGGAAGGAATGAAATGAGAAGAGGGAAAGAAATGAGAAGAAGGAAAGGAGGAAAGGAAGAAGGAAATAGATGGAAATAGGAAGGGAGGGAGGGAGGAAGGAAGATGAAATCAGAAGGAAGGAATGAAATGAGAAGAGGGAAAGAAATGAAAAGAAGGAAGGAGGAAAGGAAGAAGAAAGATGAAAATAGGGAGGGAGGGAGGAAGACAATAGATGAAATCGGAAGGAAGGAATGAAATGAGAAGAGGCAAAGAAATGAGAAGAAGGAAGGAGGAAAGGAAGAAGGAAGTAGATGGAAATAGGATGGGAGGAGGGAGGGAGGGATGGAAAGGATGGAAGGGAGGGAGGAATGGAATCAGAAGAGGGAAAATGAGAAGAAGGAAGGAGGAAAGAAAGAAGAAAATGGATGGAAACAGGAAAGAAGAAAGAAAGGAGGGAGGGAGGAAAAGGGAGGAATGGAATCAGAAGAAGGAAAGAAATGAGAAGAAGGAAGGAGGAAAGGAAGGAGAAAATAGATGGAAATAGGAAGGAAGGAAGGAAGGAAGGAAGGAAGGAAGGAAGGAAGGAAGATGGTCTCCAAGGAGGAAAAGGAGAGGGAGAGGTTCCCCATGCAAAGCCTCCCTGGACTCCAGAGGGGGCGTGGGCGGGCATTGCTCCAGCCGTGCCCGGGACACTTACGAGATGCAGTGGGCAGCCGTCAGGACCCAGTCGGGGGTAATGAGGGACCCTCCACAGGTGTGACGGAAGGTGCCATCTCTCTCGTACTGGAGGGAGATCTGCAGGAGGCCAGAGAAGGAGATGCTGGGAAGGGTGGGGGGACATCACCCTAAATGCCCCCTGGTCCAGCCGGCTCTGCACTCAGGCCAGGCTTTCTCAGCCCCTCCTGGAGACACTGGGAGGGCAGCCCAATGGCCAGCCAGCCAGGCCGGGCTTGGCTGTTTGGCTTAAGCCAAAGCTCTTTGCCCGTGATGCCCGTCTGGGGTGCTGGTTGGTCAGGGGACGGAGCGGGCTGCCTTACCTGCCAGGGCCAGCTGTAAGGCACAGCGTCTTCGCCATTCACCACTCGGCTATGGCCAGAGTAGGCTGGCTGGCCACACCCAGCGGCTGCGGAAGAGAAGAGTGAGGACTGAGAACCCGGGGAAGGCAGCCCTCTGAGGAGCAGGAAACTTTGGATCCTTTCCTCCTCCAAGACAAAGGGGAAGGGGCTAGGAAACCCCAGGGGTGGGGGAGAAGTGGAGGGATGAGTCTTTACCACCAGCCACCAACAGGACGCAGGAAATCAGCAGCGACAGCATCTTTTCAGAATGGCTTACAGGCCATCCTGAGCCTTAAATACCCCCGCAGCTTCCACAGGGACCTTGGGCGCAGGTGTGTCGGTGCCCGCGGTGCCCTTGGCGGAGTCAGACAAGGCCCGGAAAGCTGGCCTGCTCCCCAGGGAAAGCCACAGCTGGCTCCTTGTCCAGGTGAGGAAGGCCTGGAAGCTGCCAAGGCCAGGGGCTGAGTTGACGTGAGGGTCAGGAGACATTTCCTCCCCGTTCTCCGTCCAATCCCTCCTTGACACTGGCTGATCCCCACCGCTTTTGGAACCCCCTCCAGAGGGAACGCGGTGGCTCTGTGGCTAAGATGCTGCGCTTGTCGATCAGAAAGGTCGGCAGTTCAGCGGTTCGAACCCCTAGCGCCGCGTAACGGAGTGAGCTCCCGTGACTTGTCCCAGCTTCTGCCAACCTAGCCGTTCGAAAGCATGTCAAAAATGCAAGTAGAAAAATAGGAACTACCTTTGGTGGGAAGGGAACAGCATTCCGTGCACCTTTGGCATTGAGTCCAGAGGTGGGTTGCTACCAGTTCGCATCGGTTCCGGCGAACCGGTAGTGGAAATTGGGACTGGGTCACTGAACAGGTAGGGATGGCAGGCTGGACATGCCCCCAAACCGGTTGCCCGGTCGCCATTGTCGGCTTATCATTTTTTTCATGTTCTGCGCATATGCAGAACAATTTACACTCAACTGCAGCAACCCACTCCTGGTTTAGTCACGCCGGCCACATGACCACGGAGACATCTTCGGACAGCGCTGGCTCTTCGGCTTTGAAACGGAGATGAGCACCGTCCCCTAGAGTCGGGAACGACTAGCACATAGGTACGAGGGGAACCTTCACCTTTACCTTTTACCAGAGGGAGAAAAAAAGGAAGAAAGAAGGATTTCTGGGCTGGCTCGCAGGGGATTTCCTGGCAGACACAGGCGGGGTGCCAAACCACCCTGAGTTTTTCTCCTGCTTGGCATTAGATCCAGATGTGGCGGTCAGGACCCAGCCTTTGTCTCTAGAGGTTTATGTAATACGGGTGGTGTGAATTTATTTATTTTGTTGCCCAGAATGCCTCACTTGGCAAGCCTTGACTTAGCAGCGGTATAATCTGGAAAGGGTGTGAACACCACATATGTTTGTGCATGTGTGTGTGTGTAATCCAAAGGGTGTGTTTCCTGCCCTGTGGAAAATTTGGGGGTGGGGGGTCTGGGGAGCCCCCCTCCGGCTCCTTATCCTCCTTTCCCCGTGTGGGAAATCCCATTTCCTGGCAGGGGCCCGTTTCTATGAACAGCTGACCGAAGGCTCTCCAATTTCGCCAGGGGGCTGTTCTGGCTGACACCCCTCCCCTCTCTAGATCCAAGATGCCCATGAGTTCAGTTAAGGTGGGAGGAGTGGGCTTCGGAGTTGTTTGAAACGAGGAAAACAGACCTCTCCAAACTTCAAGTCCTAGAGTCTTTTCCCCCTGTGATTCTGGCCAGCCCCCCAAGTGTACAGGGCCATTCGTATTTCCTTCGATACCTTCGGGCTAGACCAGGGGAAGGCAACTTGTGGCTCTGGAGCCGCATGTGGCTCTTTCATCCCTCTGCTGCAGCTCCCTGTTGCCGGTCGGCTCCACTATTGATAGGTCTTTCGGTTAGGACAGGTAGAGGAAAAAGGATGCCATGCTAGGAGGAGACTCTATGGTGGGGGAACTGGACTTGTGGTCAGGAGAGGAAAAAGTACGCTACACTAGGAGGAGACTCTATGGTGGAGGAACCGGGGCTTCAGTCAGCAGAGGAAAAAGGACGTTGTGCTAGGAGGAGGCTCTATGTTGGGGGAACCGGAGCTCCAGTCAGCAGAGGAAAAAGGACGCTGCACTAGGAAGAAACTCTATGGTGGGGGAACTGGACCTCCTGTCAGGAGAGGAAAAAGGACGCTACACTAGGAGGAGACTCTATGGTGGGGGAACTGGACCTCCTGTCAGGAGAGGAAAAAAGACGCTACACTAGGAGAGACTCTATGGTGAGGGAACTGGACTTCCATTCGGCTCCAGAATTGAAAGAGGGGGGGCTTCCAGTTAGGACCTTTGTGGCTCTTTGCGTGTTTAAGTTTCCTGATCCCTGGAATAGACTAAATGACCTCTGAGTATCTGCCAGTTATGCACAGCTGTGTACGTGTACAGGTGGTCCTCGACTTACAACAGTTTGTTTAGTGACCGTTTGAAGTCACGACGGCACTGGAAAAAATGGACTTGTGACCATGTTTCAAATTTAATGACCGCTTCAGCATCCCCATGATCGCATGACTTACATTCGGACCAGGGGTGGGTCCCAGCAGCCACTACTGCTGGTTCACTCATGGGCGTGCAGCGCACGCATGCGCGTTACAATAAAAAGTGTTCTGCGCCGCCAGGAGAACCGGTTCGGGGCATGGCCAGCCTGTGTCGCTGCCGGTTCCAGCAACCCAGGCCGTCAAACCACTACCGGTTCGGCCGAACCAGNGTTCTTATCTGTTTGTCTGCTTGGGCTTTCAGCCACCAAGGTTTATGTTTCCTGCTAATAAAGTGCTGTGGAATTCCAGCTAAGCTTGTCTCGGCATTCGTTACTGGACGGAGGAAGGGGTCAGAACACACTCCTACCCATCAACTTCTTTTAATAATCCCCTGCAGGGTGGGGTCTGGGCAACTGAATGGAGCTAAAAGAGTGTTTACTGCCCAGATGCCGTTCTTGTTGCCAATGCGGAGCTTTGTTCAGCAGATATATACTCAGTGTGCTCAGAGAGAGAAATATCTGCCTTTACCTAGCATTGAACTCCTGATTGTGAGGCAAGAGCGCCACCTCTAGGCTACCACACACCACTCCCCTCTCCCTCCTATCCGTGTCTTGTAGGAATTATTTTTGTGTTGTCAAAGCAAACAACAAGAAAGCAACAACATCACTTTCATGGATCTATGAAACTCCTGTCTGTTTAGCCAACTTTATACGATGTAACTACAGGTCATACTTGACTTAGGATCACAGCTGAGCCCAATGATTTTTGTTGCTAAGCGAGACATTGGTTAAGTGAATTTTGCCTCTTCTCTTGCCACAGTGAATCTCTGCAGCTCTTACGTTAGTAACCTGGTTGTTAAGTGAATCGGGCTTCCCCGCTGACTTTGTTTGTCAGTAGGTTGTAAATGGGGATCAATGAGTGGGGCCATGGCAACTGCCATAAATCTGAAAACAGCTGCCAAGTGCAATGAATGTTGATAATGTGACTACAGTCGTAAGTATGAAAAACGGTCATAAGTCACTTTTTTCAGCATCGTCGTAACTTCAAATGGCCACTAACTGAACTGTTGCAAGTCAATGTTTACCTGTATTGAGAGCTAATCAGGGATAGATCTTGAGAACCTTCTTTACCAAAGCCTGCCATTTCTGAAGATGTGTCTCTTTATTTTAATACTAGCCGCTAACCCGGCATTGCCCGGGTTATTTATTTATAGGGTGGGAAATGTCCAGACCAAACATAATTTCTAATGTTGGATTTTCCCCCTTACCAAGGGAACCCCCTTGTGGAGTACTGTGAAGCCGTTACCATGACAACTCCACTACACTGTACAGTAGAAGCCATTTTTGGCAGTTTGAGGAACAACAGGCTGTATCTTAACAGAACACATACACCAAGGGTTTTTAGGGGTGTCTTACCTCCCCCAGTAGTTGTTTCCACAGTGTGAGTCATCTGTGTATCAAGATGGGTTGAAATTGCTCAAGGCATTCCAGTTATGCTGGAACACACACAGCAGTTTATATACATCATTCTCTTGACTGACACATACACTCAATTGCATTGCCACAGGGATGAATATGACCCATCTTTTTAACGTGGTCCCCGATATTGGTTAGACCATAAACATAAAGAAAAGCCATGACAACCAGGAAGAAAACGGGGCTGTAGCTGAATAAGGAACAATATTTGACCATTAAATTGGTAACTGTGGTGTAGAACCATTGCATTAAATCGTACCGACATTCTGCCTTTTATTCCCAACGGATTGTAAATTCGAGAGAGCCAAATAAGTTTTAACTGTGTTACCTTGCTCTTGCTTGGATTTATTCGGGAACCCTCCTCAGGAGCCATTACATTTGATCAGAACATTGTGAGAGATGAAGAGAGGATGCTGTCATAAAGCCACCAGAATCCAAAATATGCATTTA